TTTCCACAATTTTTTATATACTAATTGGTAATTAAACTATAATTACTAATTAAATTAATTCGTAAAGGCTTAGATGTTACTTAATTACATGTATTAAATTAAAGAAGTAGACCAACAAATAAAAGTAAAGAAAAACTGAGGGAAAAATAGAGTATAGCCTATTTGTTTTTTGAAAAAATAGGAAAGAATCTAGTATAGCCGGGCGGCTATACTATACATATACGTATATAAAGACACGCACAGGGCATATGCGCCACGTATAGTATTTTCGTGCTAAATGTTTTTCACGGCTATAGTATTTTTTAAAGACAGCTAGGGGAAAACTGAGTATAGCCGTGCGGCTATACTTTCTTAAAAGTATGTATTTTATTTTTATTCAATAGTATGTGAGAATTATTTGTATAGTATGTGAATTTTGTGTGTCTTATTGAAATTGTTGTAAAAATTAGGTGTATTAAAGATGAGAAATACATGCGTACGTATATAAGACATTATTAAACACAAAGGTGCTAGAATCTTTATACGGGTAATAACTCTAGAAAAGTAAAAAATGAAAAAGGGACAATAGATGCTCGAGTAATGACCTAATAGTAATAGATAAGGATCTCGGGCTATGGAGAAATTTAATTGGGACACCCAAACGACATAGTAAAATAGAAATTAATCATTTTGTGGACTTTTTCCACCATTTTTTACATACTAATTGGTAATTAAACTATAATTACTAATTAAAGTAATTCGTAAAGGCTTAGATGTTACTTAATTACATGTATTAAATTAAAGAAGTAGGCCAACAAATAAAAGTAAAGAAAAACTGAGGGAAAAACAGAGGATAGCCGTGCGGCTATATTTTTTGTTTTTTGAAAAAATACGAGTATAGCCGACCGGCTGTACTATATAAGGACATGCACAGGGCATATGCGCCACGTATAGTATTTTCGTGCTAAATGTTTTTAACGGCTATACTATTTTTAAAGACAATTAGGGGAAAACTAAGTATAGCCGTGCGGCTATACGTTCTTATTTTATTTTTATTCAATAGTATATGAGAATTATTCGTTTAGTACATGAATTTTGTGTGTCTTATTGAAATTGTTGTAAAAATTATGTGTTTTAAAGATGAGAAATACGTGCGTACTTATATAAGACATTATTAAACGCAAAGGTGCTAAAATCTTTATATGAGTAATAACTCTAGAAAAGTAAAAAATGAAAAAGGGACAATATGTGCTCGAGTAATGGCCTAATAGTAATGGATAGGGCTCTTGGGCTATGGAGAAATTTAATTAGGACACCCAAACAATTTCACAAAAGACTTAGTAAAATTGAAATTAATCATTTTGTGGACTTTTTCCACAATTTTTTTTTAATACTAATTGATAATTAAACTATAATTACCAATTAAAGTAATTCAAAAAGGCACAGATGTTACAAAATTACATGTATTAAATCAAAGAAGTAGGCCAAAAACAAAAATAAAGAAAAACTGAGGGAAAACGGAGTATCGCCGTGCGGCTATACTATTTCTTTTTGAAAAAAATAGAAAAGAATCTTCTATAGCCGGTGGGCTATACTATTTATATAGGTGTATAAAGACACGCACAGGGCACACGGGCCACGAATACTATTTTTAATTTCAATTTCTTTGTACAAAAAGGAGTATAGCGGTGCGGCCATACTATTTCTTTTTGAAAAAATAGAAAAGAATCTAGCATAGCCGGCCGGCTATAATATTTATATGGGTGTATAAAGACACGCACAGGGCATATGGGCCACGTATATTATTTTTGTATTAATTAATTTTTTTATTTTAAAAAAAGGAGTATAGCAGGCCAGCTGTACTATATTTAAAGACAATTAGGGAAAAACTGAGTATAGCCGTGCGGCTATGCTTTCTTAAAAATTTGTATTTTATTTTTATTCAATAGTATGTGAGAATTATTTATATAATACGTGAATTTTGTGTGTCCTATTGAAATTGTTGTAAAAATTAGGTGTATTAAAGATGAGAAATACGTGTGTACGTATATAATTCATTATTAAACGCGAAGGTGCTCGAATCTTTATACGGGTAATAACTCTAGAAAAGTAAAAATTGAAAAAGGGACAATAGATGCTCTAGTAATGGCCTAATAGTAATGAATAGGTTCTTGGGCTATAGAGAAATTTAATTAGGACACCCAAATGATTTCACAAAAGACTTAGTAAAATAGAAATTAATTATTTTGTGGACTCTTTCCACAATTTTTTTTATACTAATTGATAATTAAACTGTAATTACTAATTAAGTAATTCAAAAAGGCTTAGATGTTACTTAAGTACATGTATTAAATAAAAGAAGTAGGCCAAAAAGAAAAGTAATGAAAAACTGCATATAGCCGTGCGGCTATACTATTTATATACGTATTTAAAGACACGCACAGGGCATATGCGCCACGTGTACTATTTTCGTTTTAGATTATTTTCCAAAAAAGAGTATAGCCAGCCGGCTATACTAAGAAAATTAGGGGAAAACTGAGTATAGCCGTGCGGCTATACGTTCTTAAAAGTATGTGTATTATTTTTATTCAATCGTATGTGAGAATTATTTGTATAATACGTGAATTTTGTGTGTCTTATTGAAATTGTTGTAAAAATTAGGTGCATTAAAGATGAGAAATACGTGTGTACGATTATTAAACGTGAAGGTGCTCGAATCTTTATACGGGTAATAACTCTAGAAAAGTAAAAATTGAAAAAGGGACAATAGATGCTCTAGTAATTGCCTAATAGTAATGAATATGGCTCTTGAGCTATGGAGAAATTTAATTAGGACACCCAAACGATTTCACAAAAGACTTAGTAAAATAGAAATTAATTATTTTGTGGACTCTTTCCACAATTTTTTATATGCTAATTGATAATTATACTATTTATACTAATTAAAGCAATTCAAAAAGGCTTAGATGTTACTTAATTACATGTATTAAATTAAAGGAGTAGGCCAAACAACAACAGTAAAGAAAAACTGAGGGAAAATTGAGTATAGCCGGGCGGCGATACTATTTTTAGAGACAATTAGGTAAAAACTGAATATAGCCGTGCGGCGATACTTTGAGAAGGGTTTAGGGTTTAGGGAGAATTAGGGAAAAGCCGCTTAACCTTCTTCCTTTTCCTAAACGGCTACACTGTTTTGAAAAATGCACAATCATAGTATAGCCATTCGGCTACACTATTTGCATGATTTTCCCACTCCAATTTTATCCACTTACACTCCTTTTTTAGTTATAAAATGAAGTGTAAGTGGATAAAATTGGAGTGGGGAAATCGCGACCCTTAAAGAAATGCCTAACTTTTCCTTCAAAATTATAAAAAGGCCATATGAGTCCACGAATATGGCAAATCACAAAATTGCAGTCTCACCACACACAGACACGTAGGAAACACATGGCTGCACAAACGAGAGAGAGAGAGAGAGAGAGAGAGAGAGAGAGAGAGAAAGAGAGAGTTTTATGCAAAGTGTGAGAGGGTGGGGAGGAGGGACGGTGATGCGATGGGTTTTGGGTGGGCGGAGGAGGCTGCTGCGCAGTAAGGGTTTAAAGTTGTTAGAAGGGGCGGCAAGAAATGAGAAGAAAATCTGTAAACATATATTAATTCTATCTCTCTCTCTCTCTCTCTCATTGCAAGTGTATAGACTCGTAGCAAATGAAAAGCAGAGGCTTCTAGATTACGAAAAATCCATAGTCTGCATTACGCAAAATCGGCCTAGGCAGCCTGGGCGGGTCTGGGCGGCCCTAGGGGGTCTGGGCAGCGCTAAGCTTGTCTGGGCGGCGCTAGGCGGGTCTGGGCTGCGCTAGGCGGAGCTAGGCGGATCTAGGCGGGTCTAGGCGGCGCTAGGCGGATCTGGGTGCCAGGGTGGTTCTGGTTCTTTTGTTTTGTTCTTTAAGCCTACTGCCTAACGATTCTTCTTTGAAGTTGATATTTCGAGCAAGAACTGTATCTGGTGCACCGCCTTTTGACCCCAGCAATATTGTGTCATTGCTTTTTCTGGTTCTTTCTTCAGGATAATTTTTTACTTATGAATTTGTTATGTATACATTGAATTACAAGCTTTGATAATTAAATTTTGGTTATTAATGAATCTGGAAATTCTGATATGCTTTAATGCAACTTTAGTAAAAGGAATATATAGCATACAGCCAGAAAAACATACAAGGAAAAGTCTTAAACTGTTAGGGCTGTGCATCTAAAATAATGGATTTCAGAAAAACTATCAGGAATAGAAATAAGGAGAATTAAAGCTCTCTAACAGGGTGTATAAATGAATTGGCTTGATTCTAAAGATTGAAGTAGCATATGGCTTTGTTTTTTTGGGTGTTGTAGCAAGAGCGCTTGTTACAGAATTTATTTTCATATGGTAAAGAAAGATAATTTTGTCACTAAAGAAAATAAAATATGAGAGGAGCACCATCAATGGATGAATATTGAATGCATAAAGATTAATCAAGTTCCATTCGGAGTTGGCAGAGGGGAGGAATTGTCATCGTTGTCGTTGGTGTGGTGAGTTGAACATGTCGTTCGGGAGAGAGCCAAGAGAGAGAGGAGAATAAGGCGGGAAGCATGGAGAGGAATGGAATTAGAGGAATTAAGAGTCTCATGATCTCTTCTTCTAGGCGGCTAGGCGGGTTGGCTCATTTTTTGGTGCCGAACTTGGAGGACGAAGCAGCCGAAACTGAGGAAAACAAATCGAAGGTTGAGTTGATAAGGCGAAATGGCTATGACTGCAAGTGCAAGCTTAGTGTTCAAGTTGAATATATTGAAAGCGTATAGCCGCGCAGCTATACTTTTAGAATATTTGAATGTACTAATATTTAAAGAGAGTAGCCAAACGGCTATTCACCGCAGCTATACTCATTAACCATAAAATTTTGTCATATCATTTAAGGGTTTAGGGATAAAATACCACTTTAGCCCATTGGGCTACAGTTATTTCTTCAATTATTTTATTTATATAAGCGATGTTGGGGAATGAGAATTTAAGTTCTTTCCGATACATTCCATTCAAATCTGTAAAATGTTGCTACTGGGGTGTGGATGAGGGTGAGGGGGAGCTAGCCATCAGAAGGGAATCTGCACGGTTCAATTCCCCAAGTCTTCTCCACGTAGTCTTGGATTGTTCTGTCGCTGCTAAATATCCCCGACCCGGCTGTGCTAAGGATGCTCATCTGAGTCCACTTATTTGGATCCGCAAATGCTTTATCGACAGCAGCCTGTGACAGATTCAAATCCCATGCACCATAGTAAGTTATACAACACCATACTCCAACTGCATATATATGCTTCGGGTTGGGACTGCCAAGTAAACAGAAATAATTACCAGTGCCTCTAAATAGCTCTCAAAATCAGAACCAAGCAAATAGAAGTCTTTACCACCGTCCACCGTATCACATAGAGATTGAAAATAGTCTTTAAAGCAGAAATAGCCCTCTCAGACCATCATACACATAATAAATATCACAGCAGAATTAGAACCTGAGGAAACAGTTCGCTCAGAACATCACACAATGGTCAAAAACGACACCAAACACATGCCCTATAAAGAATCTGAAAATTCTAGACTGGTCACCCCAATCACTAACTGGCTAAGTGAGTATGATTAGTGACTGTAATTCCGTACCTTATAACATGTGCACATTGCAGTGGTATTTTAGGAGATCCTTCCTCACACAATTTGGGAACTTCATGAATCTTTGCCCTAAACAAAAACTGGAGAAAGCAAATTCGAAGAGAATTATCACTGTTATACTACAAAAAAGTATATACTATATACCAATCTAAAATCTTGAGATAGTGAATACACAGATTCCATCTTGCAGAAGTTACAGCAAAAGAAAATTTCAGTTGGTCGACAATACTTGACATCACAATCAGCTAAGCTGAACACAACTACTTGTGATGCCACAAGAAAATACTTAAATGGGACATATTTCTTGAGAAAAAAGTTGCGGCAGAAAAGAGTACAGAAAAAATTAAAAAGAAAGAAAATTGACAACATACCATAAAGAAAACTAATTCCTCATTTGCAAGAGCTGCTTTGAATTCATTCTTTTCCTGTTTCTCTTTGATGAAATGTTGTAACTGCATAAAGAAAATTGGCCTAGGCGATCGTGATTGTACATAATGATGCAGTCCTCAACAATATAGCATATGCATTCATGGTTAGAAAACCTGCTAAATGAGATTATTTAGGGTAATACAAGCATCTGTCATGTAATTCTCAGTGTTTTACAACTAATAATTTCGGAGGTAGGAATTGACAATCCGTTACATGTTTAAGTTTTGCAAAGATATGTGGCTCAACATCTTCAAGATTGAAGTGATATAGTTACACGTGCCTTCAGAGTTCTTGAAAATTAGAAAACGAACCACCAAAATTTGTAAACTATTCTATAAAAGTAAAGAGATATGCAAATATAAACAACAGCAGACTTAATGGCAGAAAACTATAAAGATGTATCATAGGAGTGGCCTCAGTGTCCTCCTAAGAACATTAAAGAAATATTTTCCTTTTGCAACACCTGTTACAGACCAATTAGCAAAGGACTTTTGATACATACCTCATGGTGAGAGCTTTTAAATTCTGCAAAGACTCTCTTGAACTGATGAAAAGCTCGATAGAAATAGGATCTGAAGTTAGGCCCAAGCGTCTTCAGCAGAGGGTCATCAGAAAGGTTGTTTATGAACCGCAAAACATCAGATTTGTTGAGTTAATGTGAGATTATATTTTGTAAAAAGCAAAATAGGTCAATTGTCGAAAAGACTTGATGCTGTCAGTGCTGACGGGATTTAAATTCCCGCGACAGTTCACAGATGGTCAGAATATTATATTGACTATATATCAACCTATCTGAAGTTCTGAACTACTACTACGAGTGTGGGATATCCAATATTACCTTCAAGAATGTGCATCTTGTGAATTGTCGTTGAACCCTTCAAGAACGCGCGCTAGGCGGGCGCTAGGCGGCTAGGCGGTCGTTAGGCGGCTAGGCGGTCTCTAGGCGGTCGTTAGGCAGCTAGGCGGTCGCTAGGCGGGCAGCTAGGCGAGTTGGGTCTTTTTTCCGGTGCCGAACCCGGAGGACGAAGCAGTGACTGCGAGAGCAAGTTCCGTCCTCTGCGAGTGCAAGCGTCGTGTTCGTCTTGAATATATTTGAAGAGTAGAGCCGGGCGGCTATACTTTTAAAATATTCGAATCCATTTAGAAAGTATAAATTTTAAAATACATTTAAAGAGTATAGCCACGCTGCTGTACGCTTTAAATATACAATTTTGTCATATTATTTTAGGGTTAAGGGCTAAAATACCCACACCAAAAAAAAAAAAAAAAAAAAAAAAAAAAAAAAAAAAAAAGA